AAAAAAAAAAAAAAGAAAGAAAATAGATGTATATATCTTACAACTCGTGTTTTTATAATTTAGTTACTTATTGTTCTTCACAAATTCCACCAATTACTTTACAAAGCATTTGACATTGCCAGTGTGTTGTCTAACTTAATCTCCAACTGCTCATGTCACAATTCGTGTCCAAGGGAAATTCCTGGCTAATAGATTATGAGCAGTTTGCACACTGAGGTTCTAGTGAAATACCATCAAGAATGAGGAGAGAAACTTGATTGGGGAATGTGTGGAAGTTATGTTCTCTATTTCAGATACATTTTTGTTGTTAGTAAATAAAAATCAAAGTTAGACATCATGTTGCTTACAGAATTTCTGCTTCAAAATAAAAATATTCAAAAACAAAAAACTGGCACTGAGAGCTCATCCCCCAGTAATCCTAACTATTCAGGAGGTTGAGGCCTGAAGATTGCAGTTCAAACTCAACCCCGGGCAGAAAAGTCCTTGAGACTCTTATCTATAATTAATCAGCAATAATTTGAACTGGAAGTATGGCTAAAGTTGTAGAGCCCTGGCCTTAAGGAGAAAAGCCAAACAAGAGTGTTAAGCCCCAAATTCAGGCTTTAGTAATACTGTGAAAAATTATATATATATCTATATATCTATATATACATATATATGTATATATAGATCTAATATATATGTGTCATATATACTCAACAGTGATAAAAAAATACCTCTTTCACTTTGTTAGTTTCCTGAAATGGAAACAGTCTTAGTGTAAGACTGGCTGGTTGCATTCACTTTGCTGTGGTGTGAGCGTACGTCCGTGTTGTGTGTGTGGCAGAGATGCACACAGGCCCATCCGTAGTGTGGAAACAACTGGGAAAATATGTTGACAAAGGGCACTGGACTTGTCCCCAGCTCTCTGAAGATCCAGTGATTAAAAAAAAATAAAAAACTTCATGGCATACTCAGACAGTTATCTGCCTCCGTTGCTTCCACCACGATCCTCAAATGCCCTCTGAGTCTGCGGCTCTCCCTATCCAGATCTTCTAATGGACTTTTCCCTCCTAGACATAGGGTTTTCAGATTGGCAGAGATGGCACTGAGCATATCTTCAGCATGATTAATAGTCATCTGTTTTCCCACGTTCTTCTGCAGACGAGAAGCCCCAAGCTGTCTCACAGCCCTCAGTCTACCACCTTCGGGGACCCGGTTGAGCATTTATCAGAAACATCTGGTGACTCTCTAGAAGCCATGTCTGAAGGAGATGCACCAAGCCCTTTTTCCCGAGGCAGCCGGACTCGAGCAAGCCTTCCCGTGGTGAGGTCAACCAACCAGACAAAAGAAAGATCTCTGGGTAAGCTTCACGAATCAGTTTCCAATGTGGCTTTCCAACTTCATGTGTGTATTTTATGCTTCTCATATCCTCCTAATGATTGATACTGATTTGATTTAATCTCTAATCTTAGGGAACGTCATTGGTTTACTATTGTGCCAGTCAGCTTTCTGTCACTATGATAAAATACTGGCAATTATCAACATGTGTAGAAGAAAGGCTTTTTTTCTGGCTCATGATTTAAGAGATTTCATCCCCTGCTTGGTTGGCTTTATTGTTTTTGGACCTGTAGACAGGTAGCAATCATGGTGGAGTATGGAGCCTTAATATCCTTGAAGCAAAGAGGGAACAGATTGGCCAGGTCCCACAGTCCCCTCCAGGACACTGCTCCAATGACCCAACTGCCTCCAGCTCCTAAACGTTTCACACTCCCAGTCCTGCCATAGTCTGGTCACCATTCCTTTAGCATGTGGAATTTGGAAGACATTTAGGATCTGAACCATGACAGATATCAGCCTTAAAGAATTTTCTGAAGAATCAGCTAGAGTCCAAGATATCCTTGGGGTTGGGCTGAATCAGAACTGGCTGGGGTTAATAACCTAGAAGCTGAGTAATTACTAGCTGAGCTCACCAACCCTTCGAAGGTGATAGAACTTGCATGAGTTCTACTTGCTTGAAGGACAGACATCAGAATGAACCTGGCCTCACCTCCCAGCCCCAGAAGCTGGGATGGTTAGATTCATGCCCTAAAAGATGGGGTTTTCAGGCTCATTCTACTTTCTCAAGTCTGGTGGGTGGGAGGGAGAGAGGCTTCAGGAGGGAGAGGGACCACGTGAAGACTATAAACACAGGAACGTTGTTTTCTCCCACAAAGAGGAAAGGATGGAGAGTATTGCACATGGGGGACACAGCTTTGCCTTTCAACAAGCTTTGCTCCAGAGTAGAAAGATTCTCTTCCTGCCTTGATCATGTGCCATTATAGTAGTTTCTCCTTTCCTGATTATTTTCCTTTTCTTCCCCCCTCCCTGCCCCCTTTGTCTTCCTTCCCTCCCTCTTTCCCCAGAAACAAAACCTACAGGTAATAGGCTTGAACTTCTCTCTGCTGGTGTCTCATAGGCCTGCTACCATTTTTAAGGCTCTCATTTGGCACTTCAGTTTGCAGATAGCTAGGGTTGGGGAAAAAGGGCACAGGAACAGGATCAACATGCAAAAATTGTACAGTCTAGTCCAAGCAGCCCTGTGAAGACTAGCAAGGGTATGGCAGGAAGAAGGAGGGAGGAGACAGATGTTCTCTAAGCTCCTGAGGTCAGCTAGAACAGATGGGGTTCATTCACTGCCCTAACTTTCTTTAAAGAAGAAAACCCTATCATTATTTGTGTGGGTTCAGTCATTATCCTAACTAACTGTCCTAAAAAATGCCTGCTATTTGTGTTGTCAACATTATTATTTTTTTAAACTCTTACCTGGTCATTTGTCATTAATTATCATTTTAATTATACAGATTGATGGGGTATATTTGTAATTTGACACATGAATACATGTATAGTAATCAGTTCAGCATGGCTACTATTTCCATTGTCTTAAAAATGTTAAGATTGTCCATTAATATTTTGGGGTACAGTGGGATGCTTCATTCCATGTGTATGGTATGTCTTGACCTAATAGGGGGATTATGTTTCTGTCACCTAATCACTACATAGAGTTTGGCCTCTTTGAGCTCCTCTCTTCTATTTATTCTTAATATGCATAATAGGTTACTACACAACTATGGAATGGCTGGGCACTAGTGGCTCATACCTATAATCCTAGCTACTAAGGAAGCTGAGCTCTGAGGATTGCAGTTCAAAGCCAACCCAGGCAAGAAAGTACATGAGATTCTTTTTTTTTCTTGCGGGGGCGGGGCAGGGGGGGTCCAGTCGTGGGGCCTGAACTCTGGGCCTGGGAGCTGTCCCTCAGCTCTTCAGCTCAAGGCTAGTGCTCTACCACTTGAGCCACAGCACCACTTCTGGCTTTTTTTCCTGCTTATGTGGTGCTGAGGAATCGAACCCAGGGCCTCAAGCATGCAAGGCAAGCACTCTACCCTGAACCACCTTCCCAGCCCCTGAGATTCTTATCTCTAATTAACCACCAGAAAACTAGAAGTGGCTCTGAGGCTTGAAGTGGTAGGATGCTAGTCTTGAGTAAAAAAAACAAAGCTCAGGAACAGCGTGTAGGCCCTGAGTTTAAGCTCCTCATCCAACAATAACAACAACAACAAAAATACGGCGGAATGCTCCATGCATTTGCATTCCATCCTAGTGCAGGAGCTATGCTAACTAGTATTATCCCAGTTTTAGTGTTTGGCTGCTGAAGTAAACACTTGACATTCACAGTGAACATTAAATTTTAAGCCAGGCATGGTGGTGCACACCTGACATTCCAGCACGTGCGAGGTAAAGACATAAGAAACGAGAGTTTGAGGCCATCTTGGCCTGCATAGCAAGGGCTGCCTCAAAAAAAAAAAAGACCTTAAAAATTTTTTAAATTACATTTTAGCCCATCGTGGGCACAGCCCTCTAATCCTAGCTCCTCAGGAGGCTGAGGGCTGGGATGTAGCTCAGTGGCAAAGCGCTTGCCTAGCAAGTGCAACATCCTGGGTTCGATCCCCAGTACCAAAAAAGAAAAGACCAAAAAAAAATACAGTTAAAGAGGCTGAGATCTGAGGATCATGGTTCAAAACCAACAAAGGCAGAAAACCCCATGAGACTCATTTATCTACAATTAGTTACCAAAAACCCAGAAGTAGAGCTATAGCTCAAGTTGTAGAGGATCAGCCTTGAGGAAAAAAAAAAAAAGACAAGAGACAGTGCCCCGGGCCTGAGATAGATAGATAGATAGATAGATAGATAGATATAGATAGATAGATAGATAGATAGATAGATAGATAGATAGATAGATAGATAGATAGATAGATAGATAGATAGATATTGTAGTTTATGTACCTCCTTGAACACTAATAATCCAGGGTCCTCATTTTACAAATGAAAGAAGGCCACTGGAGATCTGTGTGTATGTATATGTGTGTTTGCACACACGCGTGCGCATGTTTATGCTGAAACAGTTAATTAAATGAGAGAAACAGGAACTCTAGGCTATGAATCCAGTTTTATAAGTAGAGATACAGAATTGGGGCACCACAGAAGCACTGTGGGGGCAGACCAATGGGAAGCAGGCCACTGAGCAGGTTTTCCCAGCTCCCCAGGCTGTGGCTTGTCTGCATGATGGAGCCCAGTGCTGCTTCTCCACTTGTGGCTGGAGCCAGGTAGTGAATGGAATTTCTCCTTTGTGTCACAGGCAGTGAGCCAGTTCAGGTCTTTGTATGCAAAAGAAGGGGAAGATAAAGAACCACCTTCACCTTGCTGGGGACCTGGGGAACCCTGAGCCTGGCCTGTGTGTATGTGCACGTGTGTGTGTATATGTGTGTGTGTGTGTGTGTGCGCGCGTGAGTGCCTGCCTGCCTGCCTGCCTACCTGCCTGCCTGCCTGCCTGCCTGCCTTGGCCCAGGAATGGCTAAAGATGAGGAAGGTGTTTTAACCTGCTATCCCAGCAGGATAAAAACCCATCTGAGAGGTTTGTTCTGCCATGTCCATCATGAGCTTTCTGGCTTGTGATTGTCACAACTTCTGGATAGAAACAAAAGGGCATAGGAAGAGGAGAGGGGAAAGAGGAGAAGTTTGCCCATGCCTGGAAGCTATAGTTTCAGAAAATGAGGCTGGCGCAGGCCTGCCAAGCTAGAACTGCTCTCGATCGCCTCCTTGTGGCGAGTTTGGGAATGTCCTCTAGCCTCAGTGGTGTTAGGTTGCTTTTGCCAGGGGGAAGGGGAAAGAAACTGGGGCAAGTGTGATTTTTGGCAAGTCTATAAACATAGTCTCCCTCCTAGCGTTCTATCCAAGTCTTGACTTTGGAAACAATCTCTATGCCTGATCTGATTGACCCCCATGGGCCAACAGGGTTCTGGGAAGAGCAGCTCTCCCCAGAGAGCCTGACCTGGAGTAGCAGGGGTCAGTGACATGTTGGTGGCCCCAGCGTGCAGCTGTGACCCCATGGGGCATCACTAGAAGCCCCACTGGTGCCACTGGAAGCCCTTCCCTCAGTGTCTCCTGAACGTTGTCATTTTATCATCTCGCAGAATTTTGCAATTTCCCGTGAAGCCTCATTGGTCCTTATGCATTTAAAGTTTCTAAATTTTGATGACTTAGTCATATATAGACACACACATGCACACACACATATATATATGTGATTGTATATGTTTTTTAAATTAAAGACTCTGGGCTGGGCATAGTGGCACACGACTGTAATCTCTCCGGCTCTAAGGAGGCTGATGCAGGAGGATTATGACTTCTAAAACAACCCAGGCTACATAGTGAAGGATTCGCTCTTTTTAAAAAAAAATTCATTCCTTTAGAGTAGTTTTAGATTTATAGCAAAATTGAGAGTTCTCCCCAGCCAGTATCCCCGTTCATGCATAGCTGTGCTCACGGTCAGCACCGCACCCCTGTTCTGTGGGAAGTGCATAGTTGAGCCTAGATCTTGCAGTGGGTGTTGGTGCTGTGTGTGTTCTATGGGTTTGGACATATGATAAGACCCATACCCATCATGAGAGTCTCAAATGGAATCTATTCACTGCCAGCATCTTCTGTGTTCTTTCTGTTAATCCTTCCTCTCTCCCAAACCCTGGCAGCCACTGAGGTTTTCTGTCTTATTTTTTGGCAGTTCTGTGGTTTAGGGTAGAGTCTTACGTTTTTTGGTCAGCTTCCACTGGTAATCCTCCTACCTATGTCTCCTGTGTAGCTGGAACTACAGACATGAACCATCGTACCTGCTTTATTACTGAGAGGTGGTCTCACTAACTTTTTTCCCCAGGCTGGCCTTTGAACCATGAATTTCCAAGGTCTGCATCCCAAGAATCTGGGATTATAGACATGAACGCCATGCTTGGCACCATTGAGTGTTTTATGCACCTGTGTTTTCCCTTGTCT